CCAAAAAACCAAACAAAATACACCCAGAATCTAACTTTTTTTTCATTACCTCCACTGATGCCATTCTTGTCTACATTACTGTCATTTTTTCATCTGAATTATTGCAACAGCTTCCTAATTGGTCTTCCTGCTTCGGCCTTGGCCTTCCTTGAGAATCTCTTCTGAATAAATTGACCAGAGTGAGCCTCTTAAAATTTAAGTAACACCATTTGACGCCTCTGCTCAGAACTTTCCACTGTTTTTCCCATTCTGTGGAAGCCAGAAGCCCCACAAAGCAATACCCAGGGCGCCTCCCCTCACTGACCCTCACCGCCTACTGCTTGCTCAGTGCACTGTGACTCTGCTAAAGCCCTTCAGGATCTTTCACTGCTCCAGGAACATTCCTGCCTCAGGGCTTTTGGACTTGCTGTTTCTTCTGCTTGCCGTGCTCTTCCCTAGGTAAATAAGCACCACTCTCACATCCTCTGTCCAAATGTCACCTCAGTGACCCTTTTAAAAACAAACCCCTGACGCTCTCTCTCCTGCTAGTCCAGCACTTAAAGAGTCCATTGCTTAACGTAGTATTCTGATTTCCCTTCTTGTTTCTCTCCTTCCACTAGAATGTAGGTTCTACAGGGCAGGAATTTTTGTGGGTTCTCTGGGCAGCAACTTAAACCAGTGTCTAGCACAAGGCAGGGACTTAATTCAATATTGGCTAAATAAATATATGAAATGAAAAGGGTTTTGAAAATTGYTCTGAAAAGTGTTCTAAATAAATCTCCTATTAAAACTATTTTAACTGCTTACTCCAACTGGATTCTTTGGCAATGGGGCAAAACGCATTCAGGAAAGAATATGCAAATCCAATTCCCTCTGTTGTCTGGCCTGTTTTCCTAAGTATAATACTTTCAAGGGTCAATGTGTACATGTGTCAGAACTTCCTTCCCTTTTATGGCCAAATAATATTCTACTGCTCATTACATGACACATAATTGGGTTGTTTCCACTTTTTCCTATTCTAAATAACACTGCTGTGAACACTTTGTGCACGTTTTGTGTGGACATGTGCTTTTATTGCCTTTTTTTTTTTTTCTTATGGCAGTGCTGTGGACTGACCCAGGGCCTGCTGGGCACTCTACCATTGAGCTACATCTCCCACTCCATGGACAGATGCTTTTTTAAAATTTCTTTTAATTTTCTTTTTTTGTGTGGTGCTGAGGATCGAACACAGTGCCCCACGCATGCAAGACAAGCACGCTACCAAGATCCACAATCCCAACCTTGGACATATGCTTTTAATTCTGTTGGATATATACCTAGTAGTGGAATTGCTAGGTCAYATGGTAACCCAATATTAACTTTCTGAGGAACTGTGAAGTTGTTTCTAAAGCAGTGCAACCTTTTCCATTCCCACCAGCAATATATGAGAGTTCCAATCATTTTTTTCATTTTTATTTCCATAGTACTAGGAATTGAACTCAGAAGTGTTCTATCTCTAAGTTACATCCACGGTGTTTTTCTGTTTTGACACAGAGTTTGGTGGAGTTGCCCAGGCTGGCCTCAGTCTTGCAATCCTCCTAACTCAGCCTCCCAAATCCCTGGGATTACAGCTGTTGCCTGGCCAACAATTCYAATTTTCCCACATTCTTACCAGCACTGATTATTGTCTGACATTAGGTGTAAAGAGGTATCCTGTGGTTCTGATTTGTATTTCCTTAATTACTAATGGAGTTGGGCCACATGTGGTCATTGTAAAGGAGATGGGAGGATGGTTGAAATTCACCTCAGTTGCAAGAATATTTACTTGTTCAAAGTCTACTCTGTTTGAAAATGGGCTTGAACACTRTCAGTGATACAGCTTTCTCAGAGGAGTCATCTTGCTTTCCTCTTTTCTGGACCTTGGGGATCAGAGACTGAAGTTCAAAGTGGAWAACTTAATGGGTAAGAAAAGTACCTTCACTGTGTAGAGAGAGGCGCATACCTAGGAGACTTCAACTATGTAGAAGGGTGAGTCCATGCTTACTTACACCCCAAACAGGAAACCATACAGCGACTAACAAACACCTACACTCTTTAGCTAACACGGTCAGCTCTGTAACTCAGAAGCAGTGTGACTTGTAGATACAAAGTAAGGGCAGAGGTTAGATTTTATCAAGTTTTGATCCTAAATTCTTGGCCAATGAACAACACAAGGAAGTTCCAACGACACTTTAAGGGAAAGTATTGTTCTTGCAGTGAAGCTGGTGTTACACTGGTCTTACCTGTGTGGGATCTTCTTTCATGTAGGGAGGCTCTCCTTCCAGCATCTCAATGGCCATGATCCCTAGCGACCAGATGTCGATTTTAGGGCCATAAGCTTTCCCCATAACCATTTCTGGTGCCATCCAGTAGGGTGTTCCACGCATGCCAGTGCATGTATTCTGCTCAGAGGTGAGATGAGCACAAAACCCAAAGTTGGCTAAGAAACAAACAAAAACAAAACATCTAGAGTTAATAGCTTCCAGATATGGTTTTGTAAAAGAGTTCACCTCAGATGACATAATTGCATTTGGACTATTTGGGCTTATTTATTTTATTAAAAGAATGTAATAATAAGGTTATCCAGACTGGCATTAGAATACTTTGGTGATGTTATATACTGCCACTTTTTGCTTCTTCTTCCTACAACAGAGTGCAGATTATTAGGTGGGCGTTTATTCTCAGTAATACATATTTTATCCTTAAAGTTTTAGTAAAATTTAAAGAGATCCAAAAAGGGGAGAAAATCACTGAAGGTGGACATCAAACCCAAATGAAATGAATCAGGCAAACATCAGGACACTGAAACTACTTTAAATGAAATAAAGAGAAGCTATACTAAGCATACAAGTTAGCAGGGACTTTAGAAAACRAACACATTTGAGTGTAATTATACTGACAAGGTACTTACTAGCCTTCATCTACTCYAACTATCTCCACTATAACTAAGAAACAGAAAACTTTAGTACTTGATGTTAATTTTGTGGAAAGGTCAAGATGAGAATTTATGATCTTTTCTTCCCTTCTATTGTTAAAGCCATTCAAGTACTTACGTAACTATGGGTATCAGGCCTGTAAGCTTTAGACTGTTTGATATTTGCATAAGAGTGAATATTAAGCTATGAACTGCTTGGTTTGTTTTACCTAACTAGGATATTTTGTAAACTGTTTATAGAAGAGATCCTTCCATATTAATACATTTATCTGCCTGTTTTAAAAACTATAATATATTACGGTGTATTAACATACCAGATTACTATTCCTTTACTGTTTGACATTAAAGATAGTTTTAGTTTTTCTTTACCATGTTGCATAGAATATCCTTTTACTAATTATGGTGCATATATTTAGTAATTCTATAGGAGTGAATACTGAAAAGAGCAAGTGTTACGTAAAATAATATTTATAATGAAAAAGAATGTTTATAAAACTCAAGTACTATTCAAGTACCTTGTAAAAATATGTAATCCTCATGATAACCCTTTGAGATAGGGTAAGTTTTAAAAAATTTGTTCTGGGTAATTTCCTTTTTTTAAAATTTAATTTAATTTAATTTTTTTTTGTATTGGTGCTTAACCACTGAGCCACATCCCCAGGTTTTTTTAAATGTTTTATTTTGAAACAAAGTCTCACTAAGTTGCTTGAAGTCCTTGCTAAACTGCTGAGGGTGGCTTTGAACTTGTGATCCTCCTGCTTCAGCCTCCCAAACCGCTGTAGCATAGGCATGCTCCACTAAACCCAGCCCCAGCTATGCTTACTATTTAAATTATTCTAATTTACAAATAGGGGAACCAAGGCATATATGTTTTTAGTTAATTCACCTAAGATCATTCATCTAGTAAGTGGCAGAGTCACCACAAAACATGATCCAAAAAAATCTAATTCCATTTTCATATGTCTCCACCAACAATGTATGTGATTATCTATTCCCAACTTGCCCACTAAGATAATTTAAAGGTAGAATCTTTTATTTTGATGACCTGATTGAGTAACTTTTACAGGATGTACTTTAAAAGCTCTGCTTGAGTCCTCCAGAGGGCATGGCAGAAACCCAGAAACCCATGGACACAGGGGAAAGAAGTTCACTTTGTTTTGCATGACTCTGCTGTGTCTCCTTCTGAAGAATATTGGAAAAGTTGGATGTTTTCCTTGTCATCCCTGAGTCAGGGTCATACAGCCCTCTCCTGAAAAGGCTATCCTGAGTGAAACTCAGAGAATGCTGAAGAGTACCATGAGAAAAACTAACAGATGGCGGAAACAAATGCAAATTGATCTCTAAGGCAGCATCCACACTAGCACAGACCCAGGTACTGCTTCTTAGCCCTTTACATGTTTAACCTCCAAAAAAAATCCTGAGATTGGTTCTATTATCTTCCTCAGTGAATAAATGAGAAAAGACACACAAAGAAATTAACTTGCCTCAAATTACTGAGCAAATAGTAGCACCTCTGCTATTTAAACCCAGTTCAGTTCCCAGCTCATAGTCTTTACCACTAGATTCTAGCCCCTTCCATATTTTAATTTTCAGAAATATTAACAAAGGTTTTTTTATTTAAAAAGGAAGAAAGCATAATAAAAAATAAACAATGAATGCTTTTCCTTCGTTTGTTACTCACTAAGTTTGACGGATCCTTCCATCCCCAAAAGTACATTGTCGCTTTTTATGTCTCGGTGAATCACATAATTGGCATGTAAAAACTCCAATGCCTGTAAGCACTGAACACAAGAAAACACGTATCCATGAAACAGTCCTGGAAAGTTCCATTCACTAGCTCACACACAGTCATTATAGCAGAAGTTGTGGCCTGAGAACTGTCTGCATAGTCTTCAGCCAAAGACCCTGCAATACTTAACATTTATAAAGAAAAACATCCCTCATATGCAAAGTTCTGAAGACATAATACCTTAATTAGTAAGAAGATCCCCTCCCACACTCTGATCTCATCTAGAGGCATTATTAAATAATGTCTTACTAAGCTCTTTTTTTTCCCAATGATTTTTTTTTTTTTTAAGACAAGGCCTTTCTATGTTGCCCAGGCTGGCCTCAAACAATCCTCCTACCTCAGCTTCCTGTGCAGCTAAGACTGCAGACACCTGCCCTGTGCCCAATTCATCCACCACTGATTATTTTCCTTTTCTTTCTTCTTTTTTTTTTTTTCTTTTTCAGTACTGTGAATCAAACCTGGCGCACTGTGTATGCTAGGCAAACTGAGCTACATCCCCCGTCTCTACCATGGATTTTTAAAACTTAGTCTTCAATGGTCTCTTATAAAATGAAGAATGAGTCCATATTGCCTTCTCGGCCTTTTCAGGTTTAAATGCCTAATAGTACACAGCACTTGGTAAACAAGCATAAATTCTTTAGAAATTATTTCCACAGTAGAGGATAAACTTGTGGTTATTTGCACTTGAAACCTGAGGTACTCAGAAGTCTCAACAATGTGAGCCACTGAGAGAAGCAGGCAAGATGGAGGGTGGTCTGGTTGCATTGAGGGGGGTCGTCCATATAATGTTCTGTCAGCTTCATTTCTTCTCTGGTAGATTTTAGGTCAAGCTATCTCCACAGCCTGACACCAATCATGAAAATATATGGCTAGGGGTAGAATTCAGTGTAGAGCTCAGCAAGTTTGAGGTCCTAGGTCTGATCCCCAGAGCAGAAACAAAGAAACAAAATAACCACCACAATTAAAAACAAATAAATAAAATAACGTTATTGTGTCCATCTACAATTAAAAATATTTTCTAAAAAGTAAGGATAAATTCCCCCTTCCTTAAAAACAAGAATAAAATGAGATTTAAAAAATTTCTTTGCTCCATGATTTTTTTAATACAAACTGATAAGATAAATTATATACTTGGGAAAAGTTAGTTGTATTTCTATTCTCATTCCCATCAGAGTAGAACAACAAAGTCTGTACATTATTTGTAACCAGTAAAAATACCATTCAAAATATTTTACTATTATACAAAGAAAAAACATATAAATGGTATTATCATGTTATATTTACCAGGCATTTAATCAGATTCTTGGAAAGATTTTTTAAAGCCACAGAAAAATACTTATACAAATAAGTAGAAATAAACTATAGTCTCAAGTTAAATTTGGGGCACATAAAAGAACACCTAARTGAATACAGTTAGAACTTCTAAAATAGATTTTAATATCAACTATGAAAAATTGAGAAAAACAATTAAGTATAAATAGATAAATTCTTAAAATGTGATTAGATTTCTAGTGACCAAATAAACTTTTTTAAGGGATGTGATATTCAGAACTATGAAAGAGTTCTGATTTCCTTCCTTTAAGTACTTCAGTACTTAATACAACTCAGAATTAAAGTTTCAAAGAATGTTACCTTAATGAAAATATTATACAAAGTTTATAATTCACTATGTTTTACACTATAGTCCATCATAAACTTTTATAATTTTGTCATTTATGACAATGATCCTGTGACCTCAGGACAAAGTAGTATCAGTTTCAGTGACAATAAGCAAACAATTATCCCCAGTCTCCTCTACAGAACAAGTTATGGAGAAACAGATGGAACTTGTTTTTGGCTTAGACTTAGGCAATTTGGAAAATTTTACTAGCTTCAGCAAAAAGAAATTCATTAAAAAACATAAAGAAACCACCAGTTCCTTCACCTTCCGTGAGCTCAATAAAGCTAGAGGCAGACTTACTGATATTAAAGGTAAATGTGCCTTGTTTGTCTGTGACAGTTCTAGTTCCCAATTTATTTTGGGAGTGGGGGGGGTGCGGGTAGGGGTGGATGCCAGAAAAGGGACACTGGAGGTTTAATCTGGAGAGACTTTACCACTGCGCTACATCTCCAGCCATTTTACACTTTCATTTGAGACAGGGTCTCACTAAGTTGCTTAGGGCCTCCCTAAATTGCTGAGGTTGACCTTGAACTTGCAAATCCTCCTGTCTCAGCCTCCTGAGTCACTGGGATTACAGGCTTCTACCACCACACCTGGCTGAGTGGTATATTTTTTAAAAGCACTCCACTTTGTTCTCAAAAGTGCACTGTCTGGATGATAAATTATCATGATGACTATAAGGAGATTGCAGGTGAATTTAGTTCTTCAAAGACCTTAACTAGGCATGCGTGTAACCACAGCTACACAAGAGGTGGAAGTAGGAGGATCACAAGTTTGAGGCCAAGCTAGGCAACTTTTGAGATTGTCTCAAAATAAATAAATAAATAAATAAAAAGGACTGGGGATGTAGCTCAGTGGTGGAGCACCCCTGGATTCAATCCCAATTCCACAAAAAAATAAAAAATAAAAAAGGGCCTAAACCCCATTCCCAATGTATCCTACACATGAAGGACTGAAATGCTCATCTGAGATGAAACAGTATGGGATAACTTGCAGAGGATGTGTACAACCAAAATTCCCTGTGCAGAAAAACTTTCCTTTAATTCATCTCTTACTGACCACACATCACTCTGCTTTATCTCAAAGAAAGCAAACTCACCTCTCTGCACACAGCAGCAATCTGCGCCTCATCCATGCAGGTTTCGGTTACAACATCAGTGAGTGGTCCACAGTCAAGGTTACTCGGTCACTACAAACAAGTCATCTCCGACCAGGTAACTAAAAAGAGAACATACGAAACATACCTTTTATTTTTTTAAACATATGACACTCTTTGTTCAAGAGTTCAAATGTTAAGCGCCATAATAATAAAACTACAGAGCTCATAGTTTGAGAGCCAAGAAAAACACTGGAAAGTTACTATGTAASAGCACAAAAAAGTCCAAGGGCCATTATGATATTCATTATTATTTTTAAGTCATAGTTTGCCCATAATAGCAGTCTTGGTGTATATTTTGGAGTTTTCCAACCAAAATAACCCTATCACATAAGGATTCTTGGTTTTGTTTTGCAGATACAGAGACAGAGGCTTGGAGAGGTGAAGTAACTCATCTAAGATCACATAGAAAGTGACAGAATCAGCACCTGAAGTCAAATTCTAACGATTACAATGCCTATGGCTTATCTTAACTAACATTCCATGCTGACTTGAAATATTATTTTAAAAAGCAGAGAAATGTACCTAAAAATTTATTTATGAATGCAGACCCCCAGACCCCATGATTCGGGCTAAAGTCTCAAAATATATTATCATTTTTCCATCCTAAATAAATTTATATATGGAAGAAAATCACCTGTAACCCTCTAATACAACTGCTATTATCATTTTTTACCAGTTATCTTTCATTCATATATTTCATAAGTGTTTTTAAAAAATTTAATAGGGGGCTGGGGATATGGCTCAATCAGTAACATGCTCTCCTGGCATGCTGTGTGCTGGGTTCGATCCTCAGCACCACATAAAAATAAAATACAAATGTTGTGTCCACCGAAAACTAAAAAAAAAATAAATAAATAAATATTTAAAAATTTATCTCTCTTTAAAAAAAATTAATAGTATACTTAGTTTTCCATTGTTTTTTCTTTTTTTAACATCAATTGCTAATCTATATGAATTTTTTATTGTTTGGTGGTGGGGGTGCCAGGGAATGAACTCAGGGTACACAACCACTGAGCCACACCCCCAGCTCTATTTTGTATTTTATTTAGAGACAGGGTCTCACTGAGTTGCTTAGGCCCTTGCTAAATTTTGGCTTTGAACTCATGATCCTCCTACCTCAGCCTCCCCAGTCCCTGGGATTACAGGCATGGACCAACACACATGGCCTGCATGAGCTTTTGACAAACATATACAATTTGTACACAAAGAACAGCATTTGAAATAAAAACTGATCTAAATGTTTAAGAATTGACTGCTAGTCAGCTCCSTGGATTAAGACATGAATCCCAGCTGACCATTTCTTAAATGTTTCTGCTTCTGATCATTTGCATGAATATACAAATCATCTGCAATGTGCTTAATTTAGCTGCCTTCTCTCACTTGCCAAGTAATATCCTTGTAACAGAAGGACCTTCTAACTTGGAGTAGGCTAGTTTCACCTCTCCTCTTTCTCTTTTAAGTTTATTCTTCACTATTGGCACTTCAAAGTGGCTAGCCTCCGTTGAACCACCAGACTATATAAATTTCCATATTTTTATCCTAATGTTTAAAAGAACTTCAAACATATTTACCTGTCCAAGAAGTGAATTATATTGGGATTCTTTAGTTTTTTCATCACCAAAAGTTCATTAAGGATCAGTTCCTTCTGTGGGTGTTTCTTTAAATCAATTTGCTTAATCGCAACCTATAATGGAAACAGAATTGAAAAAAAAAATGGTTTTCCTAGTTCTCTTAGAAAGTAACAAACACCAACCAGTCACTAATTTATAGTAACACATGATATTACATAGTGAGATTACAACTGACAAATAATTAGTATTTTCACTTGCACACTGACTATGCTCAGTGTTTTATACTACCTGAACCCTAAATATATTCAGAATTATTTTGAAGTTGATTAACCAACCTAAGATCAGTCCAGTGCCAGGAATTAACCCTCTTTTCACTCCAATCTGGGAAAACTTTTTTTAAAAAATATTTGCTTATTTATGACATAATTCCTTCTTTGTTCACCCTCATGTGAGAATGGCTATAAAATTATATAGATTAATTCTTTTTTTTTATTTTCCATAAGTTTAAGCATATTTTTCTAAGATTTTATTATTAAATATGATGCTTCCTGGATCATTTTGTTTTTGTTAAATAGCTGTTATCAGATTAAGAAAATTAGTGGTTATTGTTTTGAAACATCAGTGACACTCAAATATCTTTATGCATGCACAAAACACACACACAAACATACACCTACATGCATATGCATATACATATACATATGCACACATGCACATATGATGCATAATGTTTATAGATTAATTCTTGCAACATATATCCAATTAAAAAGTATATTCCGATTGATTATGCTGAGCTTTATCTAGTTTTTCTCCTAAATAAAAAGCTAATAGAACATCTAGAAGTATGAAAAAGTTGCTACCTTTTGCCCCAGAGCCACATCAATAGCAATAAAAACCGTACCAGAAAACCTAGGGGAAACAAGACACAGTCACAATTCMGATTTCTAAATCACTGCCATTTATAATAGCCAAGAACTTTACCCTTCTCACGGTTAATTTTTAGATTTAGCATCTTAAAGACAAGAAAAGGAAAGGGAAAAGGGGAGACAATCCTTGTAGGCAAAACTTTGATTTGAAATATTTCAGACCTACAAAAATATAGGGGAAAAGATAAAGAAAAGAGTGAATAACAGACACTCATTCTGACAGCTCCCTGCTCAAGAAACAATCAAGTGCACCTGGAAGTTTCTGGTGTGCCCTTGCCTGCAGCGTTCTCCCTCCACCTCAGGGAACCTGCATTGGGTGTTCATACTGTATTTGATGTGCAACTTTCCAAGCGCTTTCCTATACTTTCARTTATGAAGTTAATGTTCAGGTATTTCTCTACAATTTGCTTTTAAAAATTCATCTGACTGGGCATGGTGGCACACACCTGTAAAGGGGCTGGGAAACTAGCTCAGTGGTGAAGCGCCTCTGGRTTCAATTCCCAGGATCACAAACAAACTAATAAATAATTCACCTGGATTTCTGATACCTATCTACATACATAGGTATGATTCTTATTCACTCGTTATTAATTATTCAACATATTATCATGCTTAAAATATTAAGGTGATTTTCAACTTTTATTATTATTAAAATCAGTGCTGAACTGAATTTAGTTGTTAAAAAAGAAATTAAGGATGTTTCCAAAAATTCTCATTCTAAATCCTACTATTCTTTCTAAGTTCACAGAACATTTTCTAGAGATTAGTAACAATAAAAATTCAAGATATTCATTTGCTCTCAAGCAATAAAGGAAAGAGCTTAGCATAGTTTAAAAACAAATTACTGAATCAGAGTGGCAGACTCAAAGATTAATACTCAATAATAGGATTCAAAAACATTTTGGGTATTTATTTATTTATTTAGTACTGGGGATTGAATCCCAGGGGTACCTTACCACTGAGCTAACTCCCCAGCCCTTTTTATCTTAGGTTTTAACTAAATTGCTGAGGCTGGCTGAAAACTTGCCATCCTCCTAACTCAGCCTCCTGAGTTGCTGGGATTATAGGTGTGCACCAGCAAGCCCAGATCAATGTGTGGGTTTTTGCTTTGCTTTGCTTTGCTTTTGTTTTTGCAATGCCAGGGACAGAAGCCAAKATCTCATGTAATTCAGACACATGCTCTACACTGAACTTCATACCCAGCCCCAAGTCAAGAGTTTTGATGGCCTATAATCCTGCAATAAAGTTGGCTTTTAAATATGTCATGGGCAACTTTTCCATTTAATAACACCTTACCATCTATGAGAAATAACATTCAAGAAGAAACAATGATGTAAAGTCATTGCTAACATGTAAGGTTTTTGAACAATTGCATTATGTATTTACACAAATCCCCTAAGGTACCACTCATAGAATACAGTAAGTGTTCAATGTCCTTGGTGGGGAGGGAAGAGAGCTCATGCTGAATACGCAGTAAGTAGTGAATATTATAACAATACAATCATAACTTACCCTTGTCCAATTTTTTTATATCTTGTATATTTTGTTTTAGGGTCACCGATGCTCACCATAGATCCTTGTTAAACAAAAACAACATTGAATTCTTTCAGTCAAGAATTTTAAAAACAAATTAATTTTAGTATCATGATTCCTTTTAATAAACTCTACTGATTWTAAAACAGTCATTTTCAAACACATCAAGTTTCAACAATAAATGGTTCCAAACAAAACTCTGAAGAAACTTAAGCAAAAGTGTGTTCAAAACAAGAAGACACATACTCTCCATTAGGTTGGGACTCCTAACTAATCACTTTCTCAAACATCATGACATTTCAGAACAATTGAATGTTCTAGTCTKCCTGAGAATTAAGGGGATTCTCAGGATGTACAGCTTTCCAAATGGCAATTCCAGCAGGGTATGGTGGCACATGCTTGAAATCCCAAATAACCAGGAGATGAGGCAAAAGAATCCCAAGCTGGAGACCAGTTTTGGAAACTCAGTGAGACCCTGTCTCCAAACAAAAAAACTGAAAAGGATTGGGGTGGGTGAAGCTCAGTGGTAAAGCACCCCTGGGTTCAATCCCTAGGATCAAAAACAAACAAAAACTTAGCAATTCATGGGAAATTCTGCACTCTACTTTTCTTCCTCACTGCATGTATTATATACTAATGATAAATTATGAAACAACTATCAGTAATAATAAATAAGTGATAGTCAAATGAATAATCCTAACTGACTTTTCTGACTATTCCAGGATATCTTCTTTCAATATATTTAGGAAACCACCTCCTACTACAGACATTACTCTACTATGGAATAATCATATATCTGTTTTAGCAATGTTCAAAGAAATGACGACGAAATGGTAAAATTAGGAGGTTGGATATAAAATCCTAGTGTGAATTCTTATGACCAGTAAGTCAAAATATAAGAAAATCACATTAAAATTTCACTACCTCAAGATAAACGAAGACAGGGCCATGTAAGGAAACTCATAAATAATTTTATGTAGGTATTCAATCTCAAGTTAACTACTAAGATTCAAGCCAAGAAGCTAAGGGCATAAAGACAGGGGATGTGATAACTAAAGGTCACAAATGAATAGTCACAGTAAACTATTTTAGTTTATTTTTTAAAGCAGCAGCCCTATATACAAATATCCCTAGGATGTCAYAGTTAAAGCAGTTTTATATTGGAAAATACTGAGGAATCCAGAACAAAAAAAYGTTGAATACGTAAGTGCTTATAACACCCATCTCTAAAGTATTTTTCCTTGAGCTTTTACATCACATTGTTCTTTATAACTACAGTCAGTGGGGGCTTGTTATCAGACATCATTGTTACCTCCTTCCTGGAACTGTTTACATTATTTATAATGCTTGATTCAGGCCACTGCAATATTAAGTGATTTTAAAGAGACCTGGAAAACATGTTTTTCCTTGGAATACATTTTATGACTAAATGTTTCTATTTTGAAAAGCTATAGGTCTGGACAAATATATACAAACCTCCTTTGATAAGGTTTCCAACTATGACCACGTTCATACCCTTTACATTTGGCTCATAGGAAATAGTATTGCTCCCGAAGGGACTGACTTCAAATGCAATAGCAAACAAAATKAATAATATTTTGCCTTCACTTTTTGAGGGTGGTACTGGGGGTTGAATCTAGGGGCACTTTACCCCTGAGCTATATGCCCAGCCCTTTATATCTTATTTTGAGACAGAGTCTGTCACCTAGACTGACCTTGAATTTGAAATCTTCTGCCTCAGTCTCCTGAATTGCTGGGATTATATTCATATGCCACCATGCCCAGCTCACTACATTTGAATTGAAGCAATTACTCCTATAAGAAACAGTCTTTCTGCCTTAAGCTAAAATAAAAGGTATATATTTCAATTCAACTGGGTCTTTTTTTTTTTTCTTTGCAGTGCTGTGGAAGGCCCCAGAGCCTTGCACACACCAAGCAAGTGCTCTTCTACTGAGCTCTATCCCCAGACATGGGTCAAATGTTTTAAGAAATGTTAATTCATAAATAATATGAAAAGTAGATAACATACTTATTTTCGCCACAATCTCCTCATCAGTCAAATTTATGTTCTTTCTCGTGGCACCACTGCCCACAGTTGCATCACCAAGAGGTGTAGGAAGAGCATCAGTTATAGACTGTGTGGAAATATGCAGAGGTATTGTTCATGACTGAGATTTTAAAACAAATATTTTCAAATATTCTAACTGGTACACTACTCAGAATTCCTTAATTTTTAACCAAAACTAAGTTATTTCTCTTGTTCTAAAGAAAGCCATACTTTCAGACTTACAAAAGTCATGTAGTGAAAAAAAATGTGAAACATTTTTCTTTGCCATAGCATGAACTTATTTAAAAGTATAACTAGCAGCTGGATGCAACAGTGCATGCCTGTAACCCAGCAACTTGAGAGACTGAGACAGGAGGATTCCAAGTTCAAAGCCAGCCTTAACAACTTAGCGAGACCCTGTCTCAAAACAAAAAATAAAAAAGAGAGCTGGGAATGTGGCTCAGTAGTTAAGTGTCCTTGGGTTCAATCCACAGTGCCAAAAAAAAAAAAGTATAACTAGCAAAATAGCAGGTCTATGAATAAAATCTCTGTGCCCAGATATAAAATAGTGTAACAGGGGCTACGGGTGTAGCTCAGTGGTAGAGTGCTTGCTTAGCATGTGTGAGGTCCTGGGTTCACGCCTCAGCACCACAGAATAAATAACTACATAAAATAAAGGTATTGTGTCCATCTACAACGAAATAT